CCATGGTGCCTAGAACTCATTGCACCGTTGAGGCAGGTATCAAGTCATGGGGAGTGAAGCCGCGAAGTAAGGTGAAGAGATTTTGTCTCTTTTCTGCAGGGAGGAATGTGTGAGCTTGTGTGGAGTCCATGAGCACACCTATGTAATGTATAGGCCTTGTAGGTTTTAATGTTGATTTTTGTTCGTTGACTGCGAAGAAGGGCGAGGGTGAAATGGGTGTCTCATCGAGCTTTGCGACCGGAGTGTGCTACAAGGAGTGAGTCATCAATATATGGAAAGACGAGAATGTTTTGAAGTCTGAGGTAGGCAGCTACCGGCGCCATGCACTTGATGAACACTCTCAGAGCTGTTGCAAGGCCGAATGGGAGTCTTTTGAATTGGTATGCTTGTAATCCAAGTTGGAAATGAAGGAATTTTCTTTGTGCGGGATGTATTGCAATATGAAAGTAAGTATCTCTTAGGTCTGTGATGGTAAACGTCTTTTTTTTTAAAAAGTAAGGGAAGAACTGATTATACAGTAACCATGCAGAATTTTGTGGTGATAATGTAGTTGTTTAATAAGTACACCGTGGGGATGGTGAAATAACGAGAGAAAAACCTGTTTTGATAGATGGGTTGTATAGCATCTTTGTGACGGAGGACTAATGACGTGTTGTCGGAGGAAGTTCGAAGAGGTGGATGTGGTACCAGTTTTTGATGATGGAGAGTACCCAGGAATCTGTGGTGATGGATTCCCATGCAGGTAAGCGTTTCCAGAGGACAGGGTTGGTGGGGTAGGTGGCAATCTTGGTCATAGGAACATCAAACATGGTGTTTGGATTTCCGGTCATTTCTCCTAGTGGCAGCCTGTTGCCAGATTTTGGCTCTTTAGTTTTTGAATTATGATTTTAAGAGGTTTGTCATGGAAGGTCTCGCTAGAACCTCTGGTACGAGTTATAGGGTTGTTTCCATTGATTTTGCTGAGGACGTTGCTGGCAGGAAGGATAAACTCCCCAACGTCTGGCTGCTGAACGTTTCTTTTGTACATTCTCTAGTATATCGTCAGTTTCAGCATGGAAAAGACCTGCTCCATTGAAGAGGAGGTCTTCAATATGTGCCCAAACATCTTTGGCTAAGCTGGCCGTTCTGAGCCAGGAAAAACGGCATAGGGCTACTGAAATGGCCATGGACTCTGCTGTAGCGTCCATGGTGTGGTGGGCGGAAAGCATCTGCTGTTTCGCAATGGAGAGACCTTCTTGTTGGAAAGTTTAAGCTAGTATCTTTTTATCCTCTGGCAGGGATTCAATAAAGGTGGACATGTTGTCCCAGAGGAAGCGTTGGTAAGCTCCCATGGCTCCTTGATAATTAGCGACTTGCATGATGAAGGCTACAGAAGAGTAAAGCCATATACCCATGGAGTCTATTCATCGGCTATCTTTATTTGGTGATATGAGAGATTGTTGGTGTCGAGAACTCGATTGAGAGGCTTAGACAAATATAGAATTTGGAGCTGGTTGTTTTTGGAAGAAAATGGCTACTGGGTCATGGATTCTATAGAGGTTATCAATCCGCTTAAGACATGGTATGGGAGGAAGCTGTTTTTGTTCAGGATCTCTGTGCAGTACTAAGGAGAGATGGCAACATCGATATGTGTACCAGAGTAGTTGTATTTTTAGAGATCAGATCATACAGATGATCGGCTGCTTCTGTCGATAGTCAGTGGATTTGCAGATCAAGGGCTTTAGCCATTCGAATCATAAGTTGTGCATAGGTCTGGAAATCCTCTGCTGGTGAGGGTGGGTTGGTATCAACAATGTCCAATTCTGGAGAGGTAAGTAATACCAATGGAGTCTGTGGCCAAGATCCATGGTCAGAGCCATCGCGGTTGCATATGGAGTCGATGGACTATTGATCAACTTCAGTGTCGAGAGGCTGAGTTTCGTAGTATTGCCGGTTAAGAGTCAGAAAAGATGGAGCGGCATGTCCATGGACATCTGTTGATGTTGAGGATCGTCGACATCGAAATATGGTGGTTGAGCTTCAACGGACCTTGATTGGTAGGGATGGACTTCGGTATCGTAATGGTGCCGGGGTCAATGACTTGGATTTACCTGAGGACAGGAACTGTGTTGATGTAACAGAATGGAACATGTGTCCATGGACCAGGATGGATATCGAGGATCGTCGATATCAGAGCCTGTGTGTGATGTCAAAGTGGAGGTTGCTGATGCGATGGCATAGCACTAGAATAAAAGGACACTGGCGATGCCAAGCATGAAGAGTGATTTCCATCATTTATTGTAGTAGGAAAGTATTGGGAGGCTGGGGCTGCAAAAGCCTCACGTGTGGATGAAATCTGCTCGATGGTTCGAGGTTTCTTCAATACCAAGTGGGGAAAAGGTTGAGGTATAGGTTACCTCTCGATAATGTGGCTGCTTCGACACCAATGGTTGTCAAGAGGTAAGCTGACTACGACATGGTATTATCGAACCGGGTAAAACACCTGGTTGACTAGTCAATGCAGTTTGTCCAGCAGAGAACTGGTTGGGGCAAATGGCAACCCAATCCATGTGCTGAGCATGGGTTTCAACCACACGCAATGAAGCGAGCGGTCGAGTTTGTTGATGTTGACTGTTCTGGTTAGGGATCAGTGGGTGATCCAAGGGCATCGAATATAGAACTGTGTTGAGCCGTTTGGGATGGGAATCCCTGGGCGATGTAATACCCGAAGGATTGCTGGAAGAAATGGAAAGTTGTGGGCTGGGAGGAGATGTTACTCGGTCAACTATCATTCCATTCTGGAGACAGAACGGGTTGATGGAATTGATGTCTGTCATCATCTGAGGGAGATCCAACCGAAATAGACATTGTTTCGATGATTCAGTAACAGCTTTTCCCATTACAGTGGTGCCTCGCACAACGATTGCTTCATACAACGATGAATTCACACAGCGATGGGCTTTTTTGAG